TATTGTGAGCTGTAAACAGGACACCCTACCAATATTGTGAGCTGTAAACAGGACACCCCACCAATATTGTGAGCTGTAAACAGGACATGCCACGAATATTGTGAGCTGTAAACAGGACATGCCACGAATATTGTGAGCTGTAAACAGGACACCCTACCAATATTGTGAGCTGTAAACAGGACATGCCACCAATATTGTGAGCTGTAAACAGGACACCCTACCAATATTGTGAGCTGTAAACAGGACATCCCACGAATATTGTGAGCTGTAAACAGGACATGCCACCAATATTGTGAGCTGTAAACAGGACACCCTACCAATATTGTGAGCTGTAAACAGGACACCCTACCAATATTGTGAGCTGTAAACAGGACACCCTACCAATATTGTGAGCTGTAAACAGGACACCCAATATTGTGAGCTACCAATATTGTGAGCTGTAAACAGGACATCCCACGAATATTGTGAGCTGTAAACAGGACATGCCACCAATATTGTGAGCTGTAAACAGGACACCCTACCAATATTGTGAGCTGTAAACAGGACACCCTACCAATATTGTGAGCTGTAAACAGGACACCCTACCAATATTGTGAGCTGTAAACAGGACACCCTACCAATATTGTGAGCTGTAAACAGGACACCCCACCAATATTGTGAGCTGTAAACAGGACATGCCACCAATATTGTGAGCTGTAAACAGGACACCCTACCAATATTGTGAGCTGTAAACAGGACACCCCACCAATATTGTGAGCTGTAAACAGGACATCCCACGAATATTGTGAGCTGTAAACAGGACATGCCACCAATATTTTGAGCTGTAAACAGGACATGCCACGAATATTGTGAGCTGTAAACAGGACACCCTACCAATATTGTGAGCTGTAAACAGGACATGCCACCAATATTGTGAGCTGTAAACAGGACACCCTACCAATATTGTGAGCTGTAAACAGGACATCCCACGAATATTGTGAGCTGTAAACAGGACATGCCACCAATATTGTGAGCTGTAAACAGGACACCCTACCAATATTGTGAGCTGTAAACAGGACACCCTACCAATATTGTGAGCTGTAAACAGGACACCCTACCAATATTGTGAGCTGTAAACAGGACACCCTACCAATATTGTGAGCTGTAAACAGGACATCCCACGAATATTGTGAGCTGTAAACAGGACATGCCACCAATATTGTGAGCTGTAAACAGGACACCCTACCAATATTGTGAGCTGTAAACAGGACACCCTACCAATATTGTGAGCTGTAAACAGGACACCCTACCAATATTGTGAGCTGTAAACAGGACACCCTACCAATATTGTGAGCTGTAAACAGGACACCCCACCAATATTGTGAGCTGTAAACAGGACATGCCACCAATATTGTGAGCTGTAAACAGGACACCCTACCAATATTGTGAGCTGTAAACAGGACACCCCACCAATATTGTGAGCTGTAAACAGGACCTCCTACCAATATTGTGAGCTGTAAACAGGACACCCTACCAATATTGTGAGCTGTAAACAGGACACCCCACCAATATTGTGAGCTGTAAACAGGACATCCCACCAATATTTTGAGTGATAAACAGGACATCCCACCAATATTTTGAGTGGTAAACAGGACATCCCACGAATATTGTGAGCTGTAAACAAGACATTCACCAATATTTTGAGCTGTAAACAGGACATGCCACCAATATTTTGAGCTGTAAACAGGACATCCCACTAACATTTTGAGCTGTAAATATGACATCCACCAATATTTTGAGCTGTAAACAGGACATGCCACCAATATTTTGAGCTGTAAACAGGACATCCCACGAATATTGTGAGCTGTAAACAGGACATCCCACGAATATTGTGAGCTGTAAACAGGACATCCCACGAATATTGTGAGCTGTAAACAGGACATACACCAATATTTTGAGCTGTAAACAGAACATCCCACCAATATTTTGAGCTGTAAACAGGACATGCCACCAATATTTTGAGCTGTAAACAGGACATGCCACCAATATTTTGAGCTGTAAACAGGACATGCCACCAATATTTTGAGCTGTAAACAGGACATGCCACCAATATTTTGAGCTGTAAACAGGACATGCCACCAATATTTTGAGCTGTAAACAGGACATGCCACCAAAATTTTGAGCTGTAAACAGGACATGCCACCAATATTTTGAGCTGTAAACAGGACATGCCACCAATATTTTGAGCTGTAAACAGGACATGCCACCAATATTTTGAGCTGTAAAAAGGACATGCCACCAAAATTTTGAGCTGGAAACAGGACATGCCACCAATATTGTGAGCTGTAAAAAGGACATGCCACCAATATTTTGAGCTGTAAACAGGACATCCCACCAATATTTTGAGCTGTAAACAGGACATGCCACCAATATTTTGAGCTGTAAACAGGGCATGCCACCAATATTGTGAGCTGTAAAAAGGACATGCCACCAAAATTTTGAGCTGAAAACAGGACATGCCACCAATATTGTGAGCTGTAAACAGGACATGCCACCAAAATTTTGAGCTGTAAACAGGACATCTCACCAAAATTTTGAGCTGTAAACAGGACATGCCACCAATATTTTGAGCTGTAAACGGGTTCAGGAACTACCAATGAAAAATGAGCTGGTGTGTATATGGGCAGGGCGTGGGGAGACTAACGTTACGTGTTCCCAGCTGGTAAATCTGGTCTTTGCCTCGAAGTCGGAGAAAAGTAATGATCCTCAATTCTGAGGCCTTCAGTATGTGTTGTCTCTCGTGTGACATATATTATGCTTATTCTGTTCATTGAAGATCCGCCTCCTAGGTTTTGCATCACCTGCAAGTGCATCTGCTCTCTCCTTGCCGTTCACACTATTGACATTCATATGGCACATTCTTTCTGGTGTTCAAAAGTCATTATGGTCTAAAAGGGCTTCAATCATCTTTTCTGCCGTGTCACTGTGTCAGCAGCAAAACAGTTGGAGTCTCCATTTTGTCTGTGAACGGAGCCAGTCAGGGTATTTTACCTTTTGTTCAAAGATGATTTTGGCTTCCATGCCGACCTAACCGTAAGTGGCTACTAGGAAAAGTCCTGGGGACTAAAGGCAGCCGGTATGACCATATCACCCACTGAGTACTGACTAGTCAATAAAATGTAGACCTAGCCCTATATGCCCAAAATGCCTAAAGGCAAGGAAAAGGGTCCTTTACTTTACTTGCCCTCTACCAATTACTTTCTGATTACTCTCTCTGCATTCCTGATTACTTTCTGATTACTCTCTCTGCATTCCTGATTTCTTTCTGATTACTCTCTCTGCATTCCTGATTACTTTCTGATTACTCTCTCTGCATTCCTGATTACTTTCTGATTACTCTCTCTGCATTCCTGATTACTTTCTGATTACTCTCCCTGCATTCCTGATTACTTTCTGATTACTCTCTCTGCATTCCTGATTACTTTCTGATTACTCTCTCTGCATTCCTGATTACTTTCTCTGCATTCCTGATTACTTTCCTTCATAGATTTCTGCACCAAGTAAAAATCGTTTCAAAAAAAAAAAGAAGTAAACACAATCAATAGATTGCACATATTATTACCTGGTAAATTTCGCTGTATCTTGTCAGGTCCATACTAGAGTAACAATTGATTAAAATGAAGTAAATAAATGAATCTTCTGAACTAAAACACAAAATCGACTACATTCACAAACCGTCCGTTTCAACAGGTTATAGTTTGGTGACTTGGACCAAAATTCATTAGGAGAATGTTGTTAGGAATCATAGGTTATGGGAACTTGTTTCTCAGAGATCTTGGAATGACAGGGTTACATCTGTAGCCTTGTAGATTGCATGACAGTTGGTGTAGAGCCAGCAGTAGTTAACTCTCTGTCCCATCACAAGTTTCCTTTTCTTCTTCTCCCTCTTCCTCTTCTTTTGTAGTATCACTAATCCCATGTTGTATCAGAGTGTCGTGATTTCTGTATGTCTTGCTCTTCTTCGGTGATTGATTTGTTCATCGTTTTGCAGGTTTAAGCTATAGCATTTATCCATCTGTTTCTGAGTCTTCCGCTCATCTTTCTAACAGATGTTCTACTGCAAAAAGTCTCATGTGCAGTTTTTTCAGGCTGCATTCTTTGTCTGTAAGCGTTTCTACAACACATTTTATATTACAGCATGTACTGAAGATTGCAAAGGACAAGAGAGCATGGAAAGTCCTCTCTGAAGCCTTATGTGCCACTAGGCATAAAGAGAAATGATGATGATGATTGATGTGTATGTTAGAGCTGTAATATTTGATCAGCCGACAGATAGTTGTAGGAAAGGATCTCAAGTTCCCAATGGTAGGCAGAGAATCACCTGACCAATATGGTCAATGAAACAAACAAAAAAGGCAACGGTGAAAAACTTTCTTCAAGATTCCAAGAAAAGCAATGATTTCTCGTAATTCTGGTGATCATTTGAAAAAAAAAATTGACAGCTAACTTTTCTTCTTCTTCTTCTTCTTCGCGTTCACCAGCTGTAAACTCTGGCGGAAGGTTCTGGTTGCTCGTCCACTACTGAACTGCAGTCCTGCTCCAGAAGCTGAGTGTTGCGTGTGCATCAGTTTTACAGATCTCATTCTCTTGAATACAGACTGTTGGTTCCTTGCCTCTCAGGCAGATGCACTCCGACTTCAAAGGAAGCTCCCCAATTAGTCGACTCTTACGACATGCTTTTGGGGAGGCAGTGGGTCTATTCTTGTTTTCCCCACAATGGGGCCCCGGAAACCACACGGGGTTAACTTTTATTGATACAGCAGATGATGATGGTGAGAACTCTTCTCCTTCTTCTGTTTCTTGTTGCCCCCCCCCCCCCCCCTGCCCCCCAATAAGGCCCCAGAACGCACACAATGTACAGATGCTGCAGTAATTGTTTCTATGTTGTATTGATCCCATGAGTTGACTTTAAAAAAAGTGTTGCGCACAGTTTTAACCGATAATCATATACTCCGTCACAGAGCAGAAAGCGTCGCCTCATCCTTCAGCCACATAGACGAGTTAGAGAAGGAATCCTTGGACACGCTCATCAACATAGATCTGCGCCCAGCACGTTCAACGTCCCAGTGTGTGGTGGATGAGTACGGTGAAGAATTCAGTCTGTAACTAACTAACTTCTTGCTTGTTCTTTTTTTAAGCATGTAAATGGTTGGGGAACGGGGAGAGAGGGTGGAGGGAACTAGAAGATAAGCAGAGCTCGAAACCCACTGCTGGCTGCGTGCATTTTGACCATGGTATGGGATGTCGCAGGTATACCTAGCCTAAAACACGGCCAGCGTAATGCTGACCACATTACCCACCGAGTTGCGATTGCTCTGTAAAAATAGTGGGGCTCTTCCCATATGCCCAATGTGCCTAAAGGCGTGAAAAGGGATCTTTACTTTTTTATTTACTGTCTGTATTTACCACTTTTTAGGGCGGTGTAGACAGGAGGCCTCGAGTCTGAGGATTAAGGGCCACAGGGCTAGAGCTGTCGCCACGGACTGTGCAGTTTAGGATGTTTAATTTTTGTCCCCGACATAAAAACTCCATCACCTTACCGGGCGTCGAACCCAGGTCTCCCGCATGAGAACCCAACGGTGTAACCACCCGAATCAGGAAAAAAAAATGTGGCGATAAAACCTTCATCAGCTTTGACACAAACCTGCAGGAATACGTAGAATCACTTATCTGTACGTTGAGAGGTGTCACAGAAATATCCATAACACACCTGGACTAGTGGAGACTCTGAGTCATGTGTGATGCAGGAAGATGATACTGGACAGAAAGAGAGGCAGGAGTAAAGCTTTCGGCAAGAGTCATAACTGACTGACTGACTGACTGACTGACTGACTGACTGACTGACTAACTGACTGACTGACTGACTAACTGACTGACTGACTAACTGACTGACTGACTGACTAACTGACTGACTAACTGACTGACTGACTAACTGACTGACTGACTGACTGACTGACTGACTGACTGACTGACTGACTGACTGACTGACTGACTGACTGACTGACTGACTGACTGACTGACTGACTAACTAACTGACTGACTGACTGATTGACTGACTAACTAACTATTTCAACTCTCTCCTACAGAATTTAAGAGACACTACTCACTCAGCACCCAAGAAATTTCAGGCGGCGAGAGAATCAAGGCACTCTTCGTCAAATTTATCCTTATCACAAAGCGAAGATGGGTGGTTCGAATCCTTCAGACAGGGACGCCTTCCTTGTTACTGATAGCTGGATTGCTGTTGGATTTGCAAGGCATTTATACCAACCAGGAACATTCTATCTTGTATGTGATGGACAGTATCCCACCCTCGACTGTTCGGATCACCAGCACAGAGAATACTCCGAAAGGATTGATTGACATTTACAAAAATCTGTTGCTTCCTGGTCACATCCCGGTGGATGTATTGGTGGACCCCCTAGTTGAGGTAACTGCTACGTGTTTTTCTTCGTTGTTCTTTCTCTTATTTCGTCTTGTTATCTCAGTTCTGTCTTGTCTTTGTTATACTATTTTGTCTTGTAATCTTATTTCGTCCAGTCAACTTATCTTATTTTGTCATCTTATCTTGTCTTGCTATTATGTCTTGTCTTGTTTTATGATTTTGTTTTTGTTATCATGCTTTGTCGTCTTATTCTGACTTTTTTTATGTGTCCCTGTTATCATATCTTGTCCTGTCATAATAGTCTTATCCTTCTATCTTATCTTGTGGGTTTTGTGATTATGTCCCTGTTATCATGTCTCGCTATATTATCTTGCCTTGTAGAGTTCTAATGGAGCAATGTTCCACAGGAACAAAACTGTTAGCCAGTCTTGCTCAAGCCTACGTTATCTTTACTGTGCAGATCCTGTTCTTCCTAGAAATTCAGAGGAAAGTTGTGGTTTCAATCCTCAGAGGAAAGTTGTGGTTTCAATCCTTAGAGGAAAGTTGGGATTTCAATCCTCAGAGGAAAGTTGTGGTTCAATCCTCAGAGGACAGTTGTGGTTCAATCCTCAGAGGACAGTTGTGGTTTCAATCCTCAGAGGATAGTTGTGGTTTCAATCCTCAGAGGAAAGTTGTCGTTCAATCCTCAGAGGACAGTTGTGGTTTCAATCCTCAGAGGACAGTTGTGGTTTCAATCCTCAGTGGGAAGTTGGACTAGACAACAAATAAAACAGTAGCGAGACTAACTCCTCGCGCAGCAGCAAATTGAGTGCATGGTGCGACACTGAGTTGTAGACTTCATATTCAAATAATGGCTGTTTGCTACTGAACTGGCAGTATTCCTTATACAGTAATGCATGTGCACTAGCTGGTTTGTCAGGACTGCTACTTCCATCAACCATGAACTGCAATTCTAGTTTCAGTTGTTGATGTTGGCACCTTTGGCGGCTGCTTGAGCATTCATTGCTTTTGCAAGCTGTTAGATTTTGCCAGAACTGCAACTGCTTTGTCTTTTTTTAATAAGGCGCATTGAAAAGCATGACAAGCATTTTGCAGATCAGCTATTACATGAATGAAGTAATTAAAGGCTGACCCATTTGCGGTCATGCTGGAACCGAAACTGATAGCTGATTTTGTCTTGTCTTCTTGTCTGGTCATTTTATTTTTGCTAACTGAACTTTTTATATTTTTTAGAGGTCACTTTCGGTTTTTTTAATTTTTAGATCAGAGGTCACCTAGGGGTCAGAGTGACGTAGGTGTCAGGGAGGCTCTGGTAGGGGGCATAAATAATCACAGCAAGCATCTCATGATTGGGCACCCCTGGCCGTTGGTAGGTTCTCTATAAACACAGCAGGCCTCTTTACTGGGAGCCTTTATAGGTGTCTCGTAATGGATTTTTTTTAGGTCACATCTACAACTAGGCTGCTAAAGCAAAGGCGTAGCAACTTCTGTTTTAATAAAAACAGTTATGACCCGGTCTATGAGCTGTATAGGAAACCCGCTGGAAACACAACAAGACGGTTTTCTGCTCTCACCAAAGACTGGGACAATGACTGAAAATGGAGAGAAAAAAAATGTAGTTTTCTTGTGTTGAAACCCTGAGCTGCTGCTTCTTCTTCGTCCTCTTCTTCTTCTCCTCCTCCTTCTCCCCCCTCTCCTCTTTCTCCTCCTCCTCCGATAGTTAAGACCAGTAGTAACATACATCACTATTAGATAATATTCGCTGTTCGAACTTCCCTTCTTTCCACTGGTCCTTTCCTTTTTCGTGTCTTTCTGGTAGTAATGCTATGTAGTTGTGCTCTGTCAATCAAGTGGCGAGGTGTGATCAGTTTGCATATGTAAGCGCTATCAGGTAACGTTTCCACTGGAGAGAGTTTCATGTGATATTTTCCCTCGTCGCTTCTTCACTCAGAGTATGCTTGTGCAGCTAGAATCATCGAACTACCGACTGGTAGCGTTGACATGTTACATTTTCTGCACGAGTGGCGTCAGTTTGCCTTTACATGCAGGCTTAGGAAAATCATGGGTGCAATGCCACTCAAGTTCTTGTTCTGCAGACTGTTCAGGGACCTTGACAGACATCAGCAGGGTTGAAATGCAAACACTGAACAGCTGATAACTACTCTGTTTATTGCTCCAACAAAGTGCATCTGTTTATTGCTCCAACAAAGTGCATCTGTTTATTGCTCCAACAAAGTGCCTCTGTTTATTGCTCCAATGATATTCCTCTGTTTTTTGCTCCAACGATAGTCTTCTGTTTTTTGCTCCAACAGTGTTCCTCTGTTTTTGGCTCCAAATGTATTTCTCAATCAGTGGGCAAGAGGTTTGTCGTATGGGATAATATTTACACTAAACAGTAGTATGTACATTCATTACCTGACTTGGGTATTCAATTAAAGCACTTGGAACTGACGGCACTTTAAATCTCCCAAAGTTGAATCTAAAAACACTTGCACGTAAGGCAGACAATGTTTAGCTTTTTCATTACGTCCGACTATCAGCTTGACCAGATTTTCTCAGGAAACAAGGTCGGCGCTTGAGCTGGTAAATCTACTCAGCTCAAACTCTCCCCGTACCACAAGACTGGACAGTCCACAAGACTGGACAGTCCACAAGACTGGACAATCCACAAGACTGGACAGTCCACAAGACTGGACAATCCACAAGACTGGACAATCCACAAGACTGGACAATCCACAAGACTGGGCAATCCACAAGACTGGACAATCCACAAGACTGGATAGTCCACAAGACTGGACAGTCCACAAGACCGGACAGTCCACAAGACCGGAAAGTCCACAAGACTGGACAATCCACAAGACTGGATAGTCCACAAGACTGGACAGTCCACAAGACTGGACAGTCAACAAGACCGGACAGTCCACAAGACTGAACAGTCCACAAGACCGGACAGTCCACAAGACCGGACAGTCCACAAGACCGGACAGTCCACAAGACCGGACAGTCCACAAGACCAGACAGTCCACAAGACCGGACAGTCCACAAGACTGGACAGTCCACAAGACCGGACAGTCCACAAGACCGGACAATCCACAAGACCGGACAATCCACAAGGTAAGGACAAATTGTACAAGCATTGAGAAAATAAGCAATAACAGTTGGGAGAGTGGGGGGAGAGGGGGGGGGGGATTTTGAAATTAGCTTGATTCTTTTGTTAAATCTTAATTTAGCACAATTCTGCCAATACACAGGAATCAAAGCTGGCAGCGAAATACAAAGAATCTGCAGTGAATAAAAGCAAGTGTTTTGTTGGAGCCGACTTCTCAAACATAAGCTTTAGACATGGCATCGCTCAATACAATTATGAATTTCATCACTCCTTGGCTATATCTGTAAGTAGATATGTCTACCACACTCTGTCTATTTATCCATCTGTTACAACTAACACTTACATCACAGGTTGGTTATATCTGTAAGTAGATGTATCTATCACCCTCTGTCTATTTATCCATGTGTTACAACTATCACTGACATCACAGGTTGGTTATATCTGTGAGTAGATGTATCTACCACCCTCTGTCTATTTATCCATGTGTTACAACTATCACTTACATCACACCTTGGTTATATCTGTGAGTAGATGTATCTATCACCCTCTGTCTATTTATCCATTTGTTACAACTATCACTTACATCACGCCT